TTTAGACTATAATTCCTGTGAGGCTCTTGAACCTGCCTCTCTGTAGCACCCAACATTCTACCCCCTTTGAGATAACCCCACAAACCTAACACCCGCTGCTCTTGGTGCAATCTCTTGGCTTCAATCTTGACTGACCCATGACAACCTTGTGGTTTTTCTCACCTTCTTTGCCTTCTCCCAGATAACCCGGACCCTGGTGGCTGCCCGAGCCTTTGTACAGGGCCTGGAGACTGGAAGAATTGTGGTCAGCGAAGCGCTTAAGGTTAGAGGGGGCCTGAGTGCAGGCAGGACCCAGGGAGGGAGAAACGGAAGTGAAAGAGACCTCACGAGGAAGAATCAGCCACCAAACTAGCAGGACAAGCCTGGGGCTCTGTCTAATCCTAACACCTCAAGGCCCTGGTGTCCCAGGATGAATTAGGAAGGAGGGAGCTGGAGTGAAGCCTCCACTGCTCCACAATCCGTGATCTCTGACCACCTCTGATCCCCTCCTGCTCTCTGTGGACCCATATCCCCCTGTCAGTCCCTGAGGACCTGCTTATCTCCATAGCAGTTCAAGATTGGATACTGCCCCTGCCCAATCTCCCAGGACTCCTCAGTGACTTCACTTCCCTGCTGCTGAAGGCCAGAAGCCTGGCTTGGCCTCTCTCACTACCCATCCTCTCCCTTACCTTCCAGCCTCACCTTCTGCCTCCTGACTGCCTCCTCCCTGCCCAGCTGGGATGGGCTCACTCTTGTCCTTGAATCTTTCCTCAGACTCCCAACTGCCTCTCTAGTTCCACACCTCCCATGAATCAGTGTCAGCAACCTGGAACCTCCCTCCTCAGATCTGTGACAATCTCACCTGCTGCCGCGGGGGGGGTCACCAATCCTAGGTGCCCACATCCAGCTCTCCACTCAGAGCCTGGGGAAGGTGGGATGGGGCATGTGATTTCTCTCTGTGCTCGGCACCAAGCCGGGCTGAGAGCAGCCACGGTGTTTGTGGAGGACACAGCCCCACTCTCTGTCCCCAGGTGCCGGTGTCTGAAGGCTGCAGCCAGGCTCTAATGCGTCTCATCGGCTGTCCCCTATGCCGGGGGGTCCCCTCACTTATGCCCTGCCGGGGCTTCTGCCTCAACGTGGTTCGTGGCTGTCTCAGCAACAGGGGACTGGAGCCTGACTGGGGCAACTACCTGGGTGAGGGGATTCAAGAAAGCCTGAAGCCAGGCATGGTGGCTCATGCCTGTAATCACAGCACTTTGAGAGGCTGAGGCAGGAGGATCACTTGAGGCCAGGAGTTGGAGGCCAGGTGGGGCAACATAGCTAGATGCCATCTCTACAAAAAAAGAAATTAGCTAGGTGTGGTAGGACACATGCCTGTAGTCCCAGTTACTCCTGAGGCTGACGCAGGAGGATCTTGAGGCCAGGAGTTAGAGCCCAGCCTGAGCAACATAGCTAGACCCCATCTCTACAAAAAAAAAAAGAAAAGAAAGAAAGAAAGAAATTAGCAGGCGTGGTGGCACACATGTCTGTTATCCCAGTTACTCCAGAGGCTGAGGCAGGAGGCTCCCTTGAGCCCAGGAGTGAGAGGCTGCAGTAAGCTGTGATGGTGCCACTCTACTCCAGCCGGGTGAGAGAGTAAGACCCTGTCTTTAAGAAATCCTAAAATTTAAATTTTATTTTTAAATAAGTCTCTGGGATGGAAAAGGGCCCTGAGTAAGGTGGGGCATGATCTGAAGAGGGGCTCTAAAGCCAAACTGAGGGGGAAACATGAGAGGGAACTCAGATGAGTTTCCCCCAAATACTTTGCTGCTTCTCTAAGTCCCGAGTGAGGATTTTTGGGAACATCCTAGTTCACCACTCATCCCATACTTTCTCTTTCTCCCCCTCCCTTAAGATGGTCTCCTGATCCTGGCTGATAAGCTCCAGGGTCCCTTTTCCTTTGAGCTGGCCGCTGAGTCCATTGGGGTGAAGATCTCGGAGGGTTTGATGTACCTGCAGGAAAACAGCGTGAAGGTGTCCACCCAGGTACAGGGGAGAGAAGGGTGGAGGCGAGGCCCGGGGCAGGGACGGTGTAGGTGTCAGGGAGACAGTGTAAGGTATCTGGGAAGAGACTCTGGAGTCAGAGTGGGGACGCAGTGTGGTTTTACCGCAGGGTGACTGTGTGAGGTCTCTTCACCGTGCCGCAGGTGTTTCAGGAGTGCGGCCCCCCCAACCCGGTGCCGGCCCGAAACCGTCGAGCCCCACCGCCCCGGGAAGAGGCGAGCCGGCTGTGGTCGATGGTTACCGAAGAGGAGCGGCCCACGACGGCAGCAGGCACCAACCTGCACAGGCTGGTGCGTGGGGGGGGACCAAGAGTTGGGGGTGGGGAGGGCCGGGGCCGGGGCCAGGGATGGGGGTAGCACTCCAGCTCGCCCCGTCCCCTTTCGTCCGCCCAGGTGTGGGAGCTCCGGGAGCGTCTGGCCCGGATGCGGGGCTTCTGGGCCCGGCTGTCCCTGACGGTGTGTGGAGACTCTCGCATGGCAGCGGACGCCTCGCAGGAAGCGGCGCCCTGCTGGACCGGAGCCGGGCGGGGCAGGTGAGTCTCGGGGACGTGGAGGGACTGCAAAGGGCGCGGCCGCGGCCGGGAGGGGCGGGGCGCGCGGGCGAGCGGGAGCTTTGGGGCTGCTCTGCTCGCAGGTACTTGCCGCCGGTGATCGGGGGCACCTCGGCCGAGCAGGTCAACAACCCCGAGCTCAAGGTGGACACCTCGGGCCCCGATGTCCCGACACGGCGGCGTCGGTTACAGCTCCGGGCAGCCATTGCCAGGATGAAGGCGGCCGCACTGGGACACGACCTGGACGGGCAGGATGCGGGTGAGACCCGGGCGTCCCTGGTCCCGAGCCCCGCCCACTGCCCTTAAGCCCCTCCCCTCTCCTGGTAGTTCCCACCCGTGCCTCTGCTTTCAGCGTTCATTCATTCATTGATTCACTAATTCATTCAATGAACATTTATTGAGCGTTGACCTCAAAGACTGAGGATAATAGACCGATGAGGGGGTCTCTATCCTTTCGGGTCAGTAGGGGAGACACAAAAATATTCTTAGAGAACAGTGGGAAGCCCCTTATAACGGGCAAAAGGGCAGTGGGAAAATGGGCGAGGGGCAACTTGGGGGAGGCTGGGAAGCCAGGGTGGTGGGTGACATTGGGCTGGCTTCCCAGGGTGAAGTTTGCCAGACAGAGAAGCAAGCCACAGCCACTCATTGTTTTCTTCTTTCCTTCTCTCTGTCTGTCTCTGTCTCTCTTTGTCACTCTTCTTCCACCCCTCTTCCTGGCTGCTCTCTGCTTCTGTGTACTTCTGATTTTTCTCTTTTCCCGTTATCCTCTCTCCCCATCTGCCTGTCTTTTTTCTGTCTGTCTCATTGTCTCCCATTATGATTTCTCCCTTCTGTGCCTGCTGACTCTCTTTTTCCCTCTTTTCCTGCCTTCCTGTCACTCACGGTCTTTCTCCCTTCCCCAACCCCGAATCCACCTGTATCTCCCTCCGGTGCCTCCCTCTTTCTGTTTTTAATCCCAATTTCTTTTCCTCCTTCCGTCTCCCTCTGCCTCTCCTTCCCACCCTGTCTGTCTCTGTCCCTCTTCTTCTTTGCAGATGAGGACGCCAGTGGCTCTGGAGGGGGACAGCAGTATGCAGATGACTGGATGGCTGGGGCTGGGGCTCCCCCAGTCCGGCCTCCTCGGCCTCCATACCCTCCTCAAAGGGATGGTTCCGGGGGCAAAGGAGGAGGTGGCAGTGCCCGCTACAACCAGGGCCGCTACAACCAGGGCCGGAGCAGGAGTGGGGGGCCATCTATTGGTTTTCACCCCCAAACCATCCTCATTCTCTCCCTCTCAGCCCTGGCCCTGCTTGGACCTCGATAACAGGAGAGGGGTGCCCTAGCATCAGAAGGGTTCATGGCCCTTTCCCCTCCTCCCCTCTCAGCTGGGCCTGGGGAGGATTTGAAGGGGGCTGCAAAGAGGGTAGAGAAGGGACTTTGTAGGTGAATGGCTGGGGCCCCAAATCCAGGAGAGTTTCATCAGGAGTGGGTGGGCGTCTACAATATTTTTTCATTTGGTAACAGGGGAGGGGGATGTGGGGTATTTATTTAGGAAGGATTGTGATTTCCTTAGAGGGTATAGTTTCCAGCCCTCTAAGGCTGGGGCTGGTGATCAGCCCCAACAGAAAGTGAGGAGTTTAGAGTTGCAGCTGGGGAAGGGGATTGAAGGATGTTGGAAGTGGGGGGGGGTGGGAGCATCTGGTCTCAAAAATGGACAAAGCCGGATGCTGACAGGGTGCAGGGCAGGGGACTGGAGGGCGTGTGAGTAGGATGTGAGGCTTCATGGGCTTGAGTTCTTCAGTCGAGTTTCTTCAGTATCAATTTATTTAACCAAAATTTAAAAAAACAAGCAAGGGGGTGTGCTCATCTCATGACCTCTGCCATCCACATCCTTCACAAACTCCATGTTTCAGTGTTTTGAGTTCGTGTTTATTCTGCAAATAAATGGTAATGTATGGGACCCTGAGTGTGGCTTTCCCTGCTGTCAGCGTTAGTCTCTAAGCCCTGGCTCCTAGCAGAGGCGTCAGAGGCTCTGTGATTGGCTTATGTTCTGCCTGCTTTTCACCTCCCTTGGCATCTGACCCCCAGGGAGGAAATGGGTCTAGGGAATGACCCCATCTCCAAATTTTCCACCCTCTGGGCCCCTGAGCATCTTCGTTTGTAAAACAGGGAGAATTGTGGGGACCAAATAGGAACTGTGTGAAAAAGCATCTTATCACCTGCAAACTGCTCTTTGAACATGAGGCATTATTATCATTATTATTATTTTGAGATGGAGTCTCTTGTCGCCCAGGCTGGAGTGCAGTGGTACGATGATCTTTGCTCACTGCAACCTCCACCTTGAGGGTTCAAGCGATTCTCCTGTCTCAGCCTCTCAAGTAGCTGGGATTACAGGCGCCTGCCACCATGCCTGGCTAATTTTTGTATTTTTAGTAGAGATAGGGTTTCACCATGTGGGCCAGGCTGGTCGAGAACTCCTGACCTCAGGCGATCTGTCCACCTCAGGCACGCGATCCACCCGCCTCTGGCTCCCAAAGTGCTGGGATTACAGCCATGAGCCACCGCGCAGGGGGACCATGAGGCATTATTAACCTGACCACACCACTGCCTCCTGCCTTCAGAGTGGGAGGCCTTGTTCACTGAGCGTCAGTCTCTGGCTACCTTGCCACGTCCTTGACAATGTCTGCTTTCAAATATCACTTTCTCCTTCTTTCTTTCCACCGCTTGAATGCATCTTTTGTGCTGCAGCAAGCCAAGAGAAAATGGAAGGATTGATTCCCTAAGTGTGAAAGGGGGGTGGAAGTGGTGTCCTCGAAGGGGAGTCTGGGTGCTGGGCGGAGAGGGGAAGATGCAGTGGGGGAGAGACCTAGAACTTTGATCAAAGCTGCTGCAGCTGCTGGGGCTGGCGGGACAAAGGGAGGAGGGAGGAGCCTGGGCTCTGAGAAAGTTCGTGGGGAAAGTTGAGCTGAGCCAAGAGTCGGGCGGTGGCTGGGGAGGGCAGGAGGACCCGGCCCGATTTCCCTTGCTGTTCCCCTTGTGGCCTGGTGAGTGGGAAATGAAACCAAAGATTGAACCAGTGGAGGGGCCCTCTAATCTATGGAAGGAGACATGAGGGGTTCATGGGATTCTGGTGGGGGCAACTGACTGGGAAATCACCAAAGCTGGAGGGGACAGAAGGCTGGGTGGGATCTCCAGTCATGGGAAGGGAGAGATAGATGGAAGGAAATGAAGAACTCTGGATAGGGGAGACGCAGCTGGACCTTAGGGGCTGTGATTGGGGAGGGAATTGGGGAGTGATGCCAGAAGGGGCAGGTCTCTGGGAGTAAAAGTGTGGCTTCTCTCTGCCTGGGGTTATCCCTGGCTCGGAGCCGGGGGCTGTCCTGGCTTGTTGGAGGGGCCGTGGTTCCTGATCGTGAGTTGTAATCTGAAGGGGCGGGGCCGGACTCCGGGTCGATTAGGAAGCTGGGGCTTGAGAAGGAACCCCGCAATTAGTGTTTGTGCCTTTCTCTGTATCTTTCTGTCATAGACTTTTCTCTCTCTCACTCTCTCTCTCTCTCTCTCTCTCCCTCCCTCTCCGTCTCCCTCCCTCCCCCTCTGTAGCCCCACCCTTTCAATCTCCTCTGAATGCACTAAGGTTGGAAAGTGGAATGTGGAGTAAGTTCAAGGATCTGGGCTTCATAAGTAGCCATACATCTCCCCCAGCCCCTGTCGCATGTGGGGTTCTGCCCGTGCTGAGAAAGAGGAAAAAGACGTGCCGGAGTTTATAACACAATGGCCCATTGCAAACCCACTCCTGGAAGTCTAAGCTCCCTTCCTCCTGCCTGGGTTCATTCACCTGTGTCCTCCCATCCTCCTGCCTGAGTTCATCCACCTCTGATCCTCATTCCCTTTGTTTGGCTTTCCTTCCTGGCCCCGGGATAAGGTTCTTAATCCCCATCTGTGACAGCCAGAGAGGCTCAGGAGGAAGCCAGTGTCGGGACCATGATCTGACCTGAGTGTCTTAATGAGCTGATTGGTCCGATCTCTCTCTTGCTGGCTGTTTCATTCATAATCTTTTTTTTTTTTTTTCTCTCTCTCCTTCCCTTCTAAGTCCCTGAGGCTCAGGGACAGCTGTAGGTGGGGAGCTGGGGAAATTGGAGATAAGAAAATGATAGAGCAGAGGGAGTAGTTGTGGGGCCACTTCAAAAGTCTGGGTGTAGACAGCATCCCCAGCCACTCCCCTTCCCTGAACCAGGTCACAGCTGCAGCAGGTCTCCTCTGCCTCTCTCCTTAGACTCCCCTTCTTCCCCCCTCATTTCCCTTCTAGACGCTGACAGAGGCAAAAATCTGCTAACTCAGAGGGCAGACTCAACCAAGACTGTAAGCAGGCCTGGGGAATGACCCCCCGATCTCCAACCGGCGCCTTCCACGGCTGCACGGCTATCTCCAGCTGTCTCTGCCCCTGTTTCTGGCCCTGGCTCCATCCCTTTCTCACTTCACCCTTCCCTGTGCCACATGGGCCCTCTGTCTCCTGCCAGGACACTGCGGCTCTGGGGACCTCGGAGCCTGGGGGTGGCTCTGGGAGTCTTCATGACCATTGGCTTTGTGCTCCAGCTCTTGGGAGGGCCCTTCCACAGGAGGTGAGTTCCTACTTTGCCCCAACTCCCACTAGATGCCCCAAGCTTGCTCTTCCCCATCCCACCTGGGGCTGGTGACTCTTGGGGACTCAGAAGCCTCCATGCCTTCTGCCCCTTCTACCCAAGAAGCCCATTTGCTGCTGAGGGACAGGACACTCCCCCTCCATCTCTTCCCAGGCTACAGCCCTTGGCCCCATCCCTACGACCAGCCTTTCTGTCCTGCCCTCCCCGGCAGCGACTGGTGTTCCTGAAGACGCATAAATCCGGAAGCAGCTCTGTGCTGAGCCTGCTTCACCGCTATGGGGACCGGCATGGACTGCGCTTTGCCCTCCCCGCCCGCTACCAGTTTGGCTACCCAAGGCTCTTCCAGGCCTCGAGGGTAAAAGGCTACCGCCCCCAGGGTGGAGGCACCCAGCTCCCCTTCGACATCCTCTGTCACCACATGAGATTCAACCTAAAAGAGGTAAGGAGTGTCACAGGGGTGGGAGGGACCAGAAAGAGATGTGATCAGGCCTGGGGCTGACACTACCAAGGGAGGAGACCCAGACCTGGGGGGTCCCCAGGCACCATTTTACTCTAACGTTGGATATGGGGGCCACAAAGGTGGGGCTTCCTGCCACCCTCTCTACAGGTGTCCCTTCCCCCATAGTTTCTGGGAGCCAGAGTCCTTTCACCCTGGTGCTTACTTCAGTCTCTCTCTTTCACCACTGTATTTCCCTGGCATCAGTGCCCTGCCAACTCTGCCCCCAACTCTCCCTCCAGGTGCACCTTACCCTTCATTTTTTTTTTGGAAGACAGGATCTTGCTCTGTCACCTAGACTGAAGTGCAGTGGCACAATCATAGCTCACTGCAGCCTTGACTTCCCAGGCTCAAGTGATCCTCTCACCTCAGCCTCCTGAGTAGCTAGGGTTAAGGCACGCACCACCACACATGGCTACTTTTTAATTTTTTGTAGACATGGGGTCTTGCTTTGTTGCCCAGGCTGGTCTCAAACTCCTGGGCTTAAATAAATAAATAAATATTCCTGGGCTCAAGTGATCCGCTTACCTTGGCCTCCCAGAGGGTTGGGATTATGGGAGTGAGCCACCTTGGCCAGCCTTTGTGCATGTGTGCGTGTGTGTGTGTGTGTGTGTGTGCATTTGTGTGTGTGTGTGTGTGAGAGAGAGAGAGAGAGAAAGGGTCTCTCACTCTGTCATCCAGGCTGGAATGCAGTAGTGCAATTATAGCTCACTGCAACCTCAAACTCCTGGACTCAAGCAATCCTCCCACCTCAGCCTCCCAAGTAGCTGGGACTATATAGGTGCATGCCACCACACCTGGCTAATTTTTAAAATTTTTTTTGTAGAGATGGGGGTCTCACTAATGTTGCCCAGGCTGGCCTCAAATGATCCTCCACCTTAGACTTACAAGTAATTATGATTACACACCCCTTCCCTTTCTTAGCCTCCCTTCCACTGTCACACCAGGGCTCCAGCTCCCCCACTGCTTTCTGACTTGTCTTCTTCAACCCCCTCACATGTCTGGCATTTTCAAGGATCAGCTGTATGTTTAGCTTGGGGCTAAGCACAGCAGAATAGCTGGGTGGAAGCCCAGTCCTGACCCCCAGGAGCCTCTGTTCTAATAGTGGAGACAACAAGAACATACATAGTCACATACTTAGACATACACAGGAAACCGAGGGCTCCTGCAGGAAGAAAATCAATGTGTAATTGAAACATACAGGGAATAAACTAAACCTGACTGAATATTTACTAGTGCTGAGTACTAAACTTCCCATCACCTTGCCAGGAAGGCATTTGAAGTGTCTCCATTACACATAGGAGAAGTTCGAGTCTCAGAGAGCTGAAGTGACTTTCACAGATAGAAAAATGGCACCCTACTGAATAAATGTGGAGGAAAAAAAAAAAAGAAAGAAAGAAAAAAGAAAAATGGCACCCACTAGGCACAGTGGCTTACTCCTATAACCCCAGCACTTTAGGAGGCCAAGATGGAGAATCACTTGAGCCTGCAGTTTGAGACCAGCCTGGGCAACACGTGCATGTGCGTATATCTGGAATGGTGAGAAAAGTATTCACCAAAGGGGTGAGGCTTTCTGGAGAGGGGGTTTTATTTTACTTTCTTATTTAATTTTATTTATTTATTTATTTTGAGACAGAGTCTTGCTTTTTCCCCCTGGCTGGAGTATAGTGGCACGATCCCAGCTCACTGCAAATTCTACCTCCTGGGTTCATGCAAATCTCATGCCTCCCAAGTAGCTGGGACTACAGGCCTGTGCCACCACACCCGGCGAATTTTTGTACTTTTAGTAGAGATGGGGTTTCACCATGTTGACCCGGTTGGTCTTGAACTCCTGACCTCTAGTAATCCGCCCGCCCTCATCTTCCCAAAGTGCTGCGATTATAGGTGTGAGCCACCGTGCCCAGACGAGAGTGGGGATTTTAAAGGAAAAGGTGGACATGGCTGTGGTAAGGAGAACATCAGGCATTCTTAGAGGGAGCAAACCAGCAGCAAGGACACAGTGGGGTGCATGTGTGTGTGCATGTCAGAGGGAGAATGTCTGTACTGGGGGTAGAACTTCAGCAGGGGCTGCAAAGTCACCCTTGCCGAAGCTAGAGCTGGAGACAGCAGCTGAGGACACAGGCATGCTCTAATGGGCAACCTAAAGGCCACTGTTAGAAGTGAGGCGATGACAATGACCTTTGAGGTAGGTTTCTCCAGAGGCTAGGGTGATGGCCTTCACTGACACCACCATTCATTGACTACCTACTGTGTTCCAGACACTTGCACATTCATCCAGGTAAGTGTTACCCAGTTACACAGATTTCTAGATGGAGGAATGAAGGCTCTGAGACGTTCAATAACCCGCCCAAAGTCACAGAATTAGTAAATGGCAGAGTGGAATTTTATTCCAGGTCCATCAGATGCCAAAGACTATTTTCTTCAGTTTCTCCTCTGCTTTCAAAGAGACCTACAGGACCAGGCATGGTAGCTCATGCCTGTGATCTGAGTGCTTTAGGATGCTGAGGTGGGAGGATGACTTGAGCCCAGGAGTTCGAGGCCAATCTGGGCAACATAGCAAGTCCCTGTCTCTACAAAAAAATTAAAAATTAACAGGGCATGTTGGTGTGCGCCTATAGTCCCAGCTACTCAGGAGGACTATAGCAGTTTGGGGAATCCCTTGAGCCCAGGAATTTTTAAGGCTGCAGTGAGCTATGATATGCTGCCTAGATGACAGAGCAAGGAGACAGTCTCTCCAAAAAAAAGAAGAAAATAAACAATCAGAAGCTAAAATACTCCTTTCCCATTTCCACCCCTGACCCACCCCCCACCCAAAAAAAGAGAGAGAGTTCATAGGCTGTTGTTCAGATGTGCCATATTTGCAGAGCCGACTGAAGAACACCATGACAGAGAGAAGTCAGATTCAATAATGGAAGTCATTTTTGGAGGCAGAAACCCTTCAAGGAGTCCAGGAGCTAGGTTCTGACCTGCATCAGCCTGCAGGGCCACGTTAGGGTGTGGTGCAGCCTGATCTCCATCTTCTGTCTTGCAGAGCAATAGAATCACATGTCCCAGTCCTCAGAGCAGCGTCCTACCAGGCAGCTGTGGCTTCCCAGGGCCTTGGCTCAGGGTGTATTTTGCCCTCTGGGATGCCCAGGACCCCCTGAGGTGTTTTACCATTCAAACCCCTGAAGTCTCCCACCATTCTGGGCCTGGCCTATTCCACCTGCTGCCTATGCCCCAGATGGCATTATAGTTGCTCCTTCTCACTCTTTGCTGCCAGTGATGCCCCTCCTATGCCCTGAGGAGGCTAGGGCCAGTTCCCTTCCTGGAGCTATGACCAACAGTCCCAGGACAGGCACTCAATAGGTTTTTGCTGGAGAAATGAGTACAAAGGTTGGTTCCTAGAGGTTTTACTGACCAAGGCAGACAGAAATGCCCAAGGAAATTAATGTTCTCTAGGAGTTTCCTATGCTGCAGGTTTCCTTCCCTCCCTTTCTCTTTTTTCTTTTCTTTTTCCCTTTCCTTTCCCTTCTCTCTCTTCCCCTCCCCTCTCTTCCCTTGCCCTTCTCCTCCCTCCCCCTCCATCTGCTCCCTTCCTCTCCCCTTCTCTTCTCCTCCCCTCCCTTTCCTTCCTTCCTTTCCTTCCTTCTCCCTCCCTTCCTCCCTTCTTCTCTCTCTTGTGCGCACGCACTCCTCTTTCTTTCCTTCCTTCCTTTCTTTTATTTTTTTGAGAAGTAGTCTCACTCTGTCACCCATGCTGGAGTACAGTCATGCAACCTCTATCACCCAGGTTCAAGCAATTCTCCTGCCTCAGCCTCCCGGGTAGCTGGGATTACAGGTGCCTGCCACTGCACCCAGCTTATTTTTTGTAATTTTAGTAGAGACAAGTTTTCACCATCATGGCCAGTCTGGTCTTGAACTCCTGACCTCATGATCCACCCACCTCAGCCTCCCAAAGTGCTGGGATTACAGGCATGAGCCACCGCCACCAGTCCTTTTCTTTCAAGGCAGGGTCCTGCTGCGTTGCTCAGGCATGTCTTAAAATTTTGGGCTCAAGCGATCCTACACCTCAGCCTCTTGGGTAGCTGGGACTACAGGTGTGTGCCAGGATGTCCTAACTTATTTTTAAGTTCTGGGGTACATGTGCAGAACATGCAGGTTTGTTACATAGGTATACATGTGCCACAGTGGTTTGCTGCACCTATCAACTCTCATCTAGGTTTTAAGCCTTGCATGCATTAGGTATTCGTCCTAATGCTTTCCTTCCCCTTTCCTCCTACCCCGACAGGACCGAGTGTGTGTTGTTCCCCTCCCTGTGTCCATGTGTTCTCATTGTTCGACACCCACTTACTTATGAGTGAGAACATGTGGTGTTTGGTTTTCTCTTCCTTGTTAGTTTGCTGAGAATGATGATGGCTTCCAGCTTCATCCATGTACCTGCAAAGGACGTGATCTCATTCTTTTTTACAACTGCATAATATTCCACGGTGTATATGTTCCACATTTTCTTTATCCAGTCTATCATTGATTGCCCTGCTAATGTTTTTAGTTTTATTTTTGTAGAGACAGGGTCTCAATATGTTGCCCGGGGTGGCCTCAGCAACATAGCAATGCTCAAGCCATCCTCCTGCCTCAGCCTCCTGAGTAGCTGGGACTACAGGCACACACCATATGCCTGGCTCTGTGCTCCAGGTTTCTTCGTATGTTTTATCTCATGTATCTTTCATAATCACTTGGGAAAGTATGATTATCCCCATTTTGCAGATAAGCAGGTTGAGTCTCAGAGATGTTAAGTAACTTGCCACGCAGCAAGTGATGGAAGCTGGGGATTCCTAGCAGAGCTGGGAGAAGGAAGTTTGAGGAGTCTGGATAGGTGGACACGTGACTTGCGCATACTTATGCATGTAGGGTCCAGCCCTGCAGGGTCCTGTGAGCCCCTCTCTACGGGTGTGGAGACGAGAAACTGTGGAAATAAAAGACACAAGACACCAAGAAAGAGAAAACAGAATTTGGGCCCAAGGGTCCACTGCCAACCAAAGTGCAGTCTGGCAGTGGCCCCAAGTGCCTGGACGCCCTGATTTTATTGAGTACAAAGCAGGGAGCAGGGTGGCTAGGGCGAGGCATTGGTGGTCAGTGATAGGATCAAGTAAATCACATGTCTTGGAGATGGGGCCTGGGACTTTCAAGTAACCAAGGCGAGGAGAAAACTTAATGCATCAGCACTTTTTGCATACTTGTCAAAAATATCAAGGGCATTAAGATTTATGTAACTATTACTAATTCTTATCTTCTAAGAAAAAGAGGAACCAGGTACAGGAGCAGAACATGAAAGTAGACATGGGATGTGACCACTGAAGCCCAGCATCACATAGAGACAATTAAGCCCCCCGGATGTCCGTGAGTTTTCCTGATAGCCGTCAGGCCTACCACAAGAGCTTAGAGAAGCGGAGTTTTCTCCCAACTCCCCCAAGAAGAAGATGTCTTGGCCATTTTGGACGTCTCCTTTCCTAGCTGGCTAAACAGTGGGCGCTTTCCCAGCACTAACACTGCGGCACAGCCAAGGCGCCCTCCAGCAGCCCTTATGCAGTCATGACAGAGGGCTTAGAGCATCTTGCCTCAGGGTCACCTCCTTCCCAATGCCACTTCAGTTCCACACTTCATGACCTGAGAATCATTAGTAAAATTAAAGGGTTATGCTGAGTATATATATCTTTATGATTACATGTGAATAACTAAATGATTATATATGATTAGATATAGGAATAACTATGTGCTTATATTTCTAATTCTTTTCTAATTCAATATTCATATGGGAGCAGGTTGAGGTTTCAGACCTTTGCCTCGGCACTTGCGGGGTTCCCCCCTACATATGCATACCTGCTCCCCAGCCCAGTTTTCTCTCTGTCTTCTCTCCTCTGCAGGTACTTCAGGTCATGCCTTCTGACAGCTTCTTTTTTTCCATTGTCCGTGACCCAGCAGCTCTGGCTCGCTCTGCCTTCTCCTACTATAAATCCACCTCATCAGCCTTCCGCAAGTCACCATCCTTGGCTGCCTTCCTGGCCAATCCTCGAGCCTTCTACAGGCCTGGGGCCCGTGGGGACCACTACGCTCGCAACTTACTATGGTTTGACTTTGGCCTCCCCTTTCCCCCAGAGATGAGGGCCAAGAGCAGGAATCTTCATCCCTCCAGAGACCCCAATGCCCCAGAGCTACAGGTCTTGCCCTCTGGTGCTGGCCCTCAAGCCCAAGCCCTCAATCCCAATGCCCTCATCCATCCTGTTTCCACTGTTGCTGATCATGGCAGCCAGATACCAAGCCCTGCCTCTTTCCATATGGGGTCTTCATCCTTCATTCAGTGGGGCCTGGCCTGGCTGGACTCTGTCTTTGACCTGGTAATGGTGGCTGAGTACTTTGATGAGTCATTGGTTCTGCTGGCAGACGCCCTGTGCTGGGGTCTGGATGATGTGGTGGGCTTCATGCATAATGCCCAGGCTGGACGTGAGCAGGGCCTCAGCACTGTCAGCAACAGTGGACTGACTGCAGAGGACCAGCAGCTGACAGCACGGGCCCGAGCCTGGAACAACCTGGACTGGGCTCTCTATGTCCACTTCAACCGCAGTCTCTGGGCACGGATAGAGAAATACGGCCAGCGTCGGCTGCAGACAGCTGTGGCTGAGCTCCGGGCTCGCCGACAGGCCCTGGCCAAACACTGTCTGGTAGGGGGTGAGGCTTCTGACCCCAAATACATCACTGATCGCCGGTTCCGCCCCTTCCAGTTTGGGTCAGCTAAGGTTTTGGGCTATATACTTCGGAGTGGATTGAGCCCCCAAGATCAAGAGGAGTGTGAGCGCCTGGCTACCCCTGAGCTCCAGTACAAGGACAAGCTGGATGCCAAGCAGTTCCCCCCGACCGTCTCACTGCCCCTCAAGACTTCAAGGCCACTCTCCCCATAGACATCAGACTACAGATTTATGTGGAAAAGCACCCATGTTTGAAGGGCACATGGGATGAGTGGGGGGTGGGGCAGCAAGATGCCACTTCTGCATCTCTCAGAAGGGATGGGGCTTCAATGGGCTCCCAGCAGTGCTTCCCTCCTCCACTCATTTTGCTCCTTTCTTTATTTTATTTTTTTGAGATAGAGTCTCGCTGTATCCCCCAGACTTGAGTGCAGTGGCACGATCTCAGCTCACTGCAACCTCTGCCTCCCTGGTTCAAGCAATTCTCCTGCCTCAGCCTCCCAAGTAGCTGGGATTACAGGTACATGCCACCACACACAGCTAATTTTTATATTTTTAGTAGAGACAGGTTTTCAACATGTTGGTCAGGCTGATCTCGAACTCCTCACCTCAGGTGATCCACATGGCTCTGCCTCCCAAAGTGCTGAGATTACAGGTTTGAGCCACCACGCTGGCCTCCGCTTCCCCTTTCCTGCCCCAGGGCAGATCCACATCACCAAAGCACCCTAGAGGGGCAAAAGATGGAGTGAGCCACAGAAAGTTTGGTGCATGGTGAGTTGGAATAATACGTCCATTTCTCTACCAAATATTTGTTACTAGACTGTTCACTCTGAAATGTTTGCTGAATGAATAAATAATTTGAAACTTCTACTTGATTTATGGAGGGTGGAAAGGGGAGGGATGGAGAATCTTCCTGGGTAAGGTGGGGTTGGAAGGGGTCTTTTTTTTTTTTTTTTTTTTTTTTGAGACACGATCTCACTCTGTCACCCAGGCTGCAGTCCAGTGCCCCAATCACAGCTCTCTACAGCTTCAAACTCCTGGGCTCAAAAGAGCCTCCTGTGTAGGCCTCCTAAGTAGCTGGGATTACAGGTGCGCGCCACCGCGCCCGGATAATTTTTACATTTTTTGCAGAGAGGAGGTCTTGCTATGTTGGCCAGACTGGTCTCAAACACCTGACCTCAAGCGATCCTCCCGCCTCGGCCTCCCACAGTGCTGGGATTATAGGCGTGAGCCACCCCGCCCGACCGACGGGGTACTTACATTTCTTCTCCAAGAAGCTTGGCAGCAACCCCAGCTTGTATTCTCCTCTTGGCCTCAGCGCAGCCAGACCCCGCCCACTCCTACAAGGTCCGGGCACCCGCCGAATTTGGGGCCTTGGCGGCCACGCCCCCTCTCTTCCGCTTCCGGTTTATCGCCAGTCATTCGGCTCCGTACTCCGGTTCCGGCGCCGGCGGGTCTCGGTTCCGGGTTCGTTGCCCGGGTGCCGGTACCGGGCGGGTCTCTTAGGCCGCCCAGCCACGCGCAGCAGCCCGAGGTGTCGGGGCCCTCTGGACCCACCCTAGCGGGCCCCGCCGGAGATCAGCCTCCGGCCCGGGCTCCCGGTCGCGCCGTCCTCGCCGCCCCATGGAGTCCCAGTGCGACTACTCCATGTACTTCCCGGCCGTGCCGCTGCCGCCGCGCGCGGAGCTGGCAGGGGACCCGGGCCGGTACCGGGCGCTGCCCAGGCGCAACCATCTGTATTTGGGGGAAACTGTCCGCTTCCTGCTGGTGTTGCGCTGCCGGGGCGGCGCGGGGTCCAGCGCCGGGGGCGGCCCGGGCTTGGGCTCCCGAGGGGCCTGGACAGAACTGGCAACCGCCCTGGCTGCCCTGGCCTCGGTCAGCGCCGGAGGCGGGATGCCGGGGGGCGGAGGTGCCGGCGACCAGGATTCGGAGCCCCCAGGGGGAGGGGATCCTGGGGGTGGTGGTTTGTTCCGAGGCTGCAGCCCCCTTCTCACCCACGGCCCGGGCCCTGCTACCTCAGGGGGAGCGACCACGGTGAGGAGCTTTGGGGGACCCGGCACAGGGCGAAGGGGCGGTTTGCTGGGGCCTGAGGCAGGAGGCAGATGACCACCTGCAGGTCTTAAGGGAAAGGTTGCAGGCTGCCTCTGACTCGCTCCTGACCTCTTCACCCCTTTCCCAACCCCAGCTGCCTGTGGAGGAACCAATTGTGTCCACAGATGAGGTCATCTTCCCACTCACCGTTTCACTGGATAGACTGCCCCCAGGGACACCTAAAGCCAAGGTAAGATGAGCAAGGGGTGGAGCTGTCCCAATTCAGATACCTTTCCCGGGCTCAGCCATCTGTCTCTCCTCTTGACAGATTGTAGTGACTGTGTGGAAGCGGGAGGTTGAGGCACCAGAGGTCAGAGATCAAGGCTACCTGCGATTGCTGCAAACCCGATCTCCTGGGGAGACGTTCCGGGGCGAGCAGAGCGCTTTCAAGGCCCAAGGTGGGGAGGAGAGCGCAGAGGCGAAGGGCTAGAGTCTGGGAATTGGAGGACAGAGGGGAGGAGTCACACCGGAAAGTGGCTAATGGGCTCTGAGAAGAGGAAGGTGAGAACTCTGGGTTGTAGGTGAGGTCAGCCCCCAAACCATCACTTCTTGACCCACCCCCTCCCTCAGTGAGCACGCTGCTGACTCTGCTGCCCCCTCCGGTTCTGAGATGCCGGCAGTTCACTGTGGCTGGAAAACACTTGACCGTGCTCAAGGGTAAGCAAGTCGGCCAGCTCCAGCCTCCGGGAGCAGTAAGGGAACTGATTGGATGCAGTTCCTCTGGGCAGGCGGGTGGCGTAAGTCTGGTTTTTTCTGGGTAAAGGTGGGGCCCGAGGGTCCAGGTATTCTGAACCGAGCTGGTCCTCTCCAACAGTGCTGAACAGTTCCTCCCAGGAGGAAATCTCCATCTGGGATATCCGAATCCTCCCCAACTTCAATGCCAGTTATCTACCTGTCATGCCCGATGGCTCTGTGCTGCTGGTCGACAATGTCTGGTGAGGTCCTGGGAGGCGTGAGGCTGTGAAGTGGTGGGGATGGTGTCAGGGGCCAAGCTCTGGCATGGGGAGACCATGCCCTGTCCTCTTTTCTGAGCTAGTCACCAGTCTGGGGAAGTCTCCATGGGCTCCTTCTGCCGACTACCCGGCACCTCTGGCTGCTTCCCCTGCCCACTGAATGCCCTGGAGGAACACAACTTCCTGTTTCAGCTGAGAGGGGGTGAGCAGCCCCCTCCAGGGGCCAAGGAGGTGAGCATAAGGGGCTAGTGTGTTCAAGGAAAAGGGATAAGGCAGTTGGAGGGAAAGACCAGGTGGCTGACTCAAGATGGGAGGAGCACTTTAATGCCAAACCCCTTTGTACCTCCCACAGGGCCTGGAAGTTCCCTTGATTGCTGTGGTTCAGTGGTCCACCCCGAAGCTGCCCTTCACTCAGAGCATCTATACACACTACCGGTAAGTGTGGATCCTGGAGGAACCATGGCATTCACCTTTGTGGCCTGACACACACAGCCAGCAGCCCTCTCTCACCACTCCTAGCCTGCCCAGTGTCCGCCTAGATCGCCCGTGTTTCGTGATGACCGCTTCTTGTGAGTCCCCTGTTCAGACCTACAAGCGTTTCACTGTCACCTACACGCTGCTCAACAATCTCCAAGACTTCCTTGCTGTGAGGCTCGTGTGGACACCGGAGCATGCACAGGCTGGTAGGTCAGCTGCCAGGCGGGGATCTAGTCCCCAGGGAGGGGAGGGGAAAGAAAAAAGCCAGGGAGGCAGGACAGTGAAAAGAGCCACACTTGGTGCCAGTCCCACCACAGGAGGCGACTTATGGCAGGCAGCTTCTGCCCTGTACCCGGGTGGTCTCCGCAGTGTCCCAAACAGAGAGTTTAGAGAGGCAATGGGGCAGAGTGACTTTCAGGGCATGGACACTGGAGCTTTACTCACTGTTGTGAGCTCTATTTCTCTCCTTTACTAGCTGTGTGACCTTGAGTAAGTTACTTAACCTCTCTGCGCCTCAGAGTCTTCACCTCTAAAATAGAGCGACTCATATCTTATGGGACTGTCAGGCAGATACTGAATTAATATACATGATGTGCTTAGGACAGACCCTTCACACAGTAAGTATTAGCCATTGTTATCTACAATATGCACAAAAGATAACGTTTGCTCAGTTTACTCTACAGAGTGGCTTTGAGGATCAGATGAGACTGTCCTGGCGAAGGCCCTGTGGGAATGAGGAATGCTGTAGTGTTTGCTGGTCCCTGTTTCTGCCCCCAGGAAAGCAGCTGTGTGAGGAGGAACGCCGGGCCATGCAGGCCGCCCTGGACTCCATCGTCTGCCACACGCCCCTTAACAACCTTGGCTTTTCCCGGAAGGGCAGCGCGCTCACCTTCAGTGTGGCCTTCCAGGCTCTGAGGACGGGGCTCTTCGAGGTGGGCTGGGGAGGGTCTGGGCTGAGTGGTGCAGAATGCTGGGGTGGGCAGAGGCAGGACCCTTAGATTTTGGGGATGAAATAAAAAGCCAGGCAGAGGGAAGGTGGGATTTAGATTTGACATTGGTCTGTCTCATGGGGAAGATCATTTGGAAGGAAGCCTGGGCCCTGGAAGCCGAGCTGGCATGCTGACCTGCGTCTCCCCGCAGCTGAGTCAGCATATGAAACTGAAGCTGCAGTTCACCGCCAGCGTGTCCCACCCTCCACCCGAGGCCCGGCCCCTCTCCCGCAAGAGTAGCCCCAGCAGCCCTGCTGTCCGAGACTTGGTAGAGAGGCACCAGGCTAGCCTGGGCCGATCCCAGTCCTTCTCCCACCAACAGCCTTCCCGAAGCCACCTCATGAGGTACAGAACCAGAGGGTGTGGCATGGGACTGGGTAGAGCCTGGGGGCAGGGAAGGTTCTGGGTCTGACCAGCACCCACAGCCTCTGCCTTCCCCTAGGTCGGGCAGTGTGATGGAGCGCAGGGCCATCACGCCCCCCGTGGCCTCTCCTGTTGGCCGCCCCCTCTACCTGCCCCCGGACAAGGCTGTGCTGTCTCTGGACAAGATTGCCAAGCGCGAGTGCAAGGTCCTGGTGGTGGAACCCGTCAAGTAGCACCATGCCAGCTCTGTTCCCTCTTACATTCCAGAGACCCAACGCCCCCAGAGGGGATCCCTGCTCCTGAGCTTTGCCTCCCCTGGGATGCCTCCCAGATGGGGGTGAAGAGGCCCGGCAGTGCTGCCTGACTGTGTCTGCTGATGAGGGATGGGGGAAGAAGCTGTGAAGTGGGCGGGCATGGCTGGGACTAAGCCACCAGTATTCCCCGAGTTCCTGTGGGGAGGGCTGGCCCCACCCCAAGCCAGGGCAGGGGTTCCCAGAGCTCCCTTGCCCCCCGCCCATGACCCTGGTTCTAAGTTTACAAAGTCTCTTCCTCATTCCTGTTTCATTCTTTCCCACCTCTGACATTCCCTCCCTCCCTCCCTCCCACAGGGCTGATACTAGAGGGTGGTGATGGGTAAGGGCCCCTGACAGTGACCCTCCTGTCTCGGGTTGGGGACAGAGCCAGGTGGCCTCCTTCTGCCCCTTCATGTTTACGTTTGCAGCCTGAAGCACTTTAAGTTGTTGGTTTTTTTTTTTTTTTTTTTTTGGTCAGTTCCTGTAACTTATTCTCCAACCATTGCTTCCAACTGAAATAAGACTATTAAATGCCTGTTCAGGAGGGAGAAGGATGACTAGTTTGTGTATGTATTGATGGGAAGAGCAGAGGTCGCCAGGGCTCAGGGCGACTCCCCTTCCCCTCCAACTTTTTTTTCTTTTTTTTCTTTTTTTTTTTGGAGACAGAGTCTTGCTCTGTCACCAGGAGGCTGGAGTGCAGGC